CCTTCCTACCTTTTTCCTCCCTCCCTCCTGTCCTCTTTCTTTCTTTCCTTCTTCCCTTCCTTTTTTCTTCCTTCCCTCCTTCTGTTTTCTTTCTTTCCTTCCTCCCTCCCTTCTTTCCTCCCACTGTCCTTTCCCTTCCTTCTTTCCTTTTTCCTCCCTCTTTTCTTTCCTCCCTCCCGATTTCTATCCTTCCTTTCCTCCTTCCCTGTCCTTCTTTCTTTCCTTCCTTCCTTCTTTCCTTTCCTGCCTGCCTTCCTTCCTCCGATGGAAGGAGGAGGAGGCCCCTCCTACCCGCCCAGGGAGCTCCGCAACTTTTCGCCCTCAGACAATGGGCGCCGCGCGGGGCTCCCACACGCGGCCCTCGCCCACCCGCGCCCTGGCAGAGCCAGGCAGGCAGGCAGGGAAGGCAAGGCAGCGAGGGGAAGGCAAGAGGCCCTCCTCCTTCCTTCCTTCCTTCCTTCCTTCCTTCCTTCCTTCCTTCTTTCTCGGGGCGGATTTCCTCCTCCGACTCGGCACAAAGTTACGCCGCGAGCTTGGCAACTGTTGCTCCAGGGGCCGCCTAGCTGCCGGGCCTCGCGGGGCGGCTCCGCGGGAGAAACCCGGCGGTTGCTTCCATTCGCCTTCCGAGAGGAGCCCCCTTCGCTGAGGGGAGCCTTCGCCTATCCCAGGAGTTGCCGCCGCCGCCGCTGGTTTTGTTTCAACGGCCGGCGGGGCTCCGCGGTGGGCCGAGCGCGGCCGCCTGCATCTCTCCCTTCTCTCTCCCTCTCTGGGCGGGCGGTGGGCGCTCCTCCCGGCCGGGCCTGGGGTCAGCAGCTCCGGCGTTGCCTGGCGCACGCAGCCATCTTTGCTGCACTGAGGCTCGGGCGGGAGCCGCCGCTGCGCTTGGGCTGCAGGATCTGCCTTTCCCCGCCTGGCTTCCCTGGGGCCGCCTTCCCCCCCGGATTGCGCGGCGGAGCGGAGACCGGGGCGGCTCGCCTGCCCGCCTCCTCCGCCTCCTCCTCTGGCCCCCACCTAGCGCTGGAAGAGCAGCCGGGCGAGGCGAGGGGAAGGCGGCTCCAGCTCCCCGCCTTGGCTCAGCTTGCATTAACTTTCGACCGACCTGCTGGGCGTTGCAAGCGCGTCCGCCTCCCCCCACCCCGCCCCGGCCGCTGAGTGCTTTTGGCAGAATCGGACTCCTCTGACCCGAAACTGTGCTTTTATGAAGCTAAGCAGGGTCGGGCCAGTTTGAGACTTGGAAGAGAGCCCTCCGTGGGAATTGAAGAGTGGAAGAAGCTTCTTTGGTTGAGAAGCGAAAGGTCTTCCAAGAAAAACCAGAAAGTCCAGTTGCCTGGGGGGAAAAAAGCACCTTGGGGACAGGGGAATGGAATAACAAGCAAGAGTTGGAAGGGAGCCAGCGATGGTGGACCTTTTTGGCACCGAGTGCCCAAACAAGAATGTGTGCGATGCGCTGGAGTACTGGAAACCCAAAGACTAGCTGGCTGGTAGACATGCGCATGCCGACCAGCTTGTCTTTGGGTTTCTGGCACACACATGCATGCCAGCCAGCTGGTCTTGGCGTGTGCCTGAGCACCAGAAACCCAAAGACCTGCTGGCTGGTGCACGCATGCTTGTTTTTTGACTGTTTTGGGACATCTTGGGGGCCATTTTCAGGCTGGTTTTCAGCCATTTCTTAGCCGTTTTTCGGGCCAAGAACAGCCTGAAAAATGGCCTGAAAACGGCCTGTTTAGGGGACATTTTCAGGCTGTTTTCCGGTGCTCTGGCAGCAGGGAAGACCAGCTGGCCGGAGTGCATGTGCACGCCAGAAACTAGAAGAGCAGCTGACGACAGCGTACGTGCCCACAGATAGGGCTCTGCATGCCACCTCTGGCATGCGTGCCATAGGTTCGCCATCACGGCTCTAGGCCAACCCCCTGCTCAACCAGAAGACCACACACCAGGGGTGAAATCCAGCAGGTTCTGACAGGTTCTGGAGAACTGGTAGCGGGAAATTTTGAGTAGTTCGGAGAACCAGCAAATGTCACCACTGGCTGGCCCCAGAGTGGGGAGGNCTTGGACTGCAAGGCGATCAAACCAGTCAGTCCTAGAGGAGATCAACCCTGAGTGCTCTTTAGAAGGTCAGATCCTGAAGATGAAACTCAAATACTTTGGCCACCTAATGAGAAGGAAGGACTCACTGGAGAAGAGCCTAATGCTGGAAACGATTGAGGGCAAAAGAAGAAGGGGGCGACAGAGAATGAGATGGCTGGATGGAGTCACCGAAGTAGTCAGTGTTAGTTTAAATGAATTTCAGAGGATGGTAGGCCTGGAGGAACGTTATCCATGGGGTCGCGATGGGTCGGACATGACTTTGCAAATAGAAACAACACAAGCTACCTCAAGGCACTTTTGCAATGGTTACTGAGATAATGGAAGTTATTTTTTTAAAGCCCTGCACACCATTATTATTGTTACTGCTCTGAAAATTGGGAGGGGGGGAGTCACAATGAAAGCAAAGCTTGAGGCCAGAAGGAAAGCTTCTGGCAGGGATGTGAGCTTAGATGAATCACCCTCTTCAGGAGAAACGCTTCACTTTTGATGAAGCCATTTGCAAGCTCCAAAATTCCTCCCTAAGCAAATTTCTACGTATTAGGAAGTTCGACCATCATCTTGGGTTTTTTTTTAAAACCCAACACTTTTTGTCCAATCCCAAAGAGACAAAGTCCAAAAGTGGTGAGAGCTTCATCCCTGGAGGCTTTCAAGAAGAGACTGGACTGCCATCTGTCACAAATGGTGTAGGATCTCCTGTTTTGGCGGGCCGGCAGGGGTTGGACTAGATGACACACAAGGTCCCTTCCAACTCTGTTAATCTGTATCAGCTGAAGCCTTCAAGTTTGTCCAACTATCAACCAAGGCAACTTGATGGCCTCCAAAGGCATTTTTTAAAAAAACAACTGGCAGAGCCACAACCACAGGGAGTTCTCCACCTGTCTGGAGCTGCCACAAATCCGGATGCCACAAATACATAAGGTACCCCTTCTTAAGAGTCCCCAAAAGAAGCTCAATCTCTGGTGCATCCAACAACCCTTCAGCTTATGGACGCTACCATTGGAACAGAAGTACCTTTTTTCTTTAAGCACATAGACAAGCTTAAAACATGTTTGCAAACTGGATTTTCTGCCAAGGCCATGTGCTTCCCCCCCCCCCACACTGTTTCTGGATTGGTTCACCATTTGCACACCTGCAGGGAGCATTTTTTTGGGGGGGGGGAACAGTCTCTATCCAAGCTTGGGACTTCTGCCAGCCTTCAGATTAACAGAGTTGGAAGGGACCTTATCCGAAGGCAACTTCTGTTCCATTGGTTGATTTGTTCTCAGTGTTCAAACATTTCCCAGGAAGGTGTTCAATCTGGATTACAGGTACACCTTACAACAGTCCATGCAGTGACCGCCCAAAGTTACAACCGTGCTGGAAAAAGGGACTGTTGACCGTGTTTTACACTTACGACCCGTTGCAGCATCCCCTACGGCTGCTGGATCAAAAGTCAGATGCCGACTCCCATTTATGACAGTTGCGCTGGTGGCATCCCAAGATCACATCATCCCCTTTTTGCAACCTTCCCACGAGCAAAATCAAAGGGGAAGCCTTCACAACTGTGTGACTCACTTAACCCCTGCTGCGATTCACTTAACAACGGTGGCAAGAAAGGTCGTGAAGACGGGGCAAAACTCACTTAAGAGTCTCAATTGGGGGATAGAAATACTGGGGTGGTCCACTGTGGTTGTTAAGTGGAAGACTTCCTGGATGGGAGTGCTCCAGTTTGGACAAACGCTGCTTCTCCCCCAATCTGGCCGATCTCCCTCTCTCCCCTCTTCTTCCTCCCAGGTAAGCCTAAACCTGGCGGGGTTCACCTCCGACTCACCTGCCGACTCTCCCGGCTGCACCTCCTGGGTGTTCAGGTAGAGGACGGAGAGCAGGTGAGGCTGGGTCTTCTCCAGCGCCACCCGCAAGTCCTGGAAGTGATCCCGCTCCTTGGCCAGCAGCAGCTGGAGAAGCAGCTCGGCCTTGCCCACGCTGGCCGGGATCGGCTCGCTAGATCCGCCGCCGTCTCCTTCCTCGCCTTCTCCCCCGGCGGCCATCCTCAGGCCAGCCTCCCGCAGCTGGTGCAAGTCGCGGGGGCTGAGCACGGCCGCCGCCTCCAGCAGCTCGATCACCTGCTCCACCTCGGTCATGGCCTGCGCCAGGCTTTGCTGACACTGGGCCAACAGCTCTTTGTGCTTGGGCTCCATGGCAGCCGCCGCCGCCGCCGCCGGGGCCCTGCGTTCTCCCCGGCCCGAAGCTCCGCGACTCCCCGGCCCGCGATGGCGGCGACGGCGGCGAGGAGGAGGAGGAGGAGATGCTGGCGGGCGGCTGCAGCTGTTGTTCTGGCGACGGCGGCCCCGCTTCGTTTCTTTCCTTCCTTCCTCTCTCCCTTTCTTTCCTTCCTTCCTTCTTTGCTTCTTCCCTCCCTCCTGTTCTCTTTCCTTCCTTCTTTCCCCCCTCCCTCCTTCTGTCCTTTCTTTCCTTCCTTCCTACCTTTTTCCTCCCTCCCTCCTGTCCTCTTTCTTTCTTTCCTTCTTCCCTTCCTTTTTTCTTCCTTCCCTCCTTCTGTTTTCTTTCTTTCCTTCCTCCCTCCCTTCTTTCCTCCCACTGTCCTTTCCCTTCCTTCTTTCCTTTTTCCTCCCTCTTTTCTTTCCTCCCTCCCGATTTCTATCCTTCCTTTCCTCCTTCCCTGTCCTTCTTTCTTTCCTTCCTTCCTTCTTTCCTTTCCTGCCTGCCTTCCTTCCTCCGATGGAAGGAGGAGGAGGCCCCTCCTACCCGCCCAGGGAGCTCCGCAACTTTTCGCCCTCAGACAATGGGCGCCGCGCGGGGCTCCCACACGCGGCCCTCGCCCACCCGCGCCCTGGCAGAGCCAGGCAGGCAGGCAGGGAAGGCAAGGCAGCGAGGGGAAGGCAAGAGGCCCTCCTCCTTCCTTCCTTCCTTCCTTCCTTCCTTCCTTCCTTCNAAGCGCAGAACTCGTCAAAACCGGGTAAGAAACGCGGGTGGGTGGGTGGACTCTTCGGCGTTCCCGGAAGTTACTTACTTCCGGGTTCGCCGACCAACCGGTTCGCCGACCAACCGGTTCGCGGGGACCGACGCGAACCGCCTGAAACCCACCCATGATGGGGTTGCAATGGGTCAGACACAACTTCGCAACTAACAACAACAACAGAGGAATCACAAAATGTATGGGAGAGGAACTGTAGATTAACAATGCCAACATCTTATAAAGAAAATAATGTTTTATAGATGGCATTTACCACCTGCTAGGTTAGCTAAAATGTTTTAAAATATGTCTAGCAAATGTTGGAAATGTAATCAAAAGACGGGCACATTTTATCGTATGTGGTGGACGTGTGCTAAAAAACCCCAAAATTGGGCAAAGATATACAGGTGGTTAGAAAAGATGATAGGGAAACTTGTAGATTTTAAACCTGAACTGTTTTTATTAGGTATAATCAGTGGTGGGTTTACTACTGGTTCACTTGTTGCACGTGCACGACACTTCTGCGCATGGGCAGAAGCATACAGGCGGGTGGACGGAGCCTCCCGCCACCGCCACTACCAGTTCGGCCAAACCAGGCCAAACTGGGAGCAACCCACCTCTGGGTATAGTATCAGAAAAATTAGATAAGAAAAGAATGTATTTAATATTACATGTTGTAACAGCAGCGAGGATTACATTCACACAATGTTGGAAAAATGAAGAAACGTCATAAGATGAAGAGATAATTAAGAAGATACTAGACTGTGCAGAAATGGATAGATTGACGTTGAAAATGAAGCATATATTTGTATTTCTGTTTAGCCAAACTTTATCAGTTCTGTGCTGTTTTTAGAAGTCTGTGGTAAAACCTTTCTGGAATATTATCTCCCAAGACCAGCATTTATGTTTAAATATCTTCTGAAGCAAAGAACATATTAGTAGGTTTCTAAAACCTAATAAGGCAAATGCAGTATTCAAAAATCACAAAGATACCATGTTACCATTCACATCATTACTTTTAAATGTAATTTCTTTTCAACTAAGCAACATCAATGTAAGGAAAAAAAACATATTAACTTTCTGACAGCTAAACTTTCTTGCCTAACTAAGCAACATCAATGTAAGAAAAAAAACATATTAACTTTCTGACAGCTAAAATGACTTTTGTATAGATACCCTTTTGTATTTTTTCATGTCCTACATTACCTTAATAATTAACTGCTAAAGTCCGACAGATGGTCATGGTCAGATGATCTAAGATAACCTTCCCTTTCCCAACTGAAAAATATTATTGCGTCAAACAGTTTTATTGACGTATATATTCTTCAGAAAGATTGATGTAGAAAAAAGTCATACTCCTAATTCTTCAAAACCATAGGCATCCTTTTCTGGCACTTTCTGTTGGCCATTTAAGAATGAACAATGAATTTTAATGGACATCCTACATTTTATGGCCCTGCCTTGTGCTGGCATCCCTGATGTAGTACTGCCATTCATAAGTCAAAGGAACATAGGATCCTTTCTGTTATGGATATTGATATATAGATAGTCCTTGATTTATGACCACAGTCGAGCCCAAAACTTCCATTGGTAAGCAAGATAGTTGATAAGTGACTTTCCCTCATTTTACAACTTTTCTTGCCATCGTATTAAGTGAATTACTACAGTTTTTAAGTTAGTAACACAGTTGTTAAGTGAATCGGGCTTTCCCATTGATTTTCTTGTCAGAACGTCACAAAAGGCGATCACATAACCCCAGGATCAGGGGTGAAATGCTACTGTTTGGACAGGTTCACCTGAACCAGTAGTAAAAAAAAATGCTGCAGGTTTGGGTGAACCGGCATTTCCAACAATCAGCTGGGTGACAATCAACTGCGATGTGTGATTTATATTAGCTAGAATCATCAGATTTCCTGCTTTCTAGCTAATCTAAATTGCATGCATAGCGGATCCCCACACACACACTCTTCTACTCACCTTTGCAGACTCAGAAGTCTTCAAAATGTTCCTTTTTTAGCACTACGTGGGTGAGCCTCAGGTGCGCAAAGCACGTCCTTCGTAGCAGACTCACCAAACCGGTAGCAGACTTTGGAGCAGGGGTGAAATCCAGCAGATTCTGACGGAAATTTTGAGTACCGTATTTTTCGGAGTATAAGACGCATCTTTTTCCCCTCAAAAAAGAGGCTGAAAATCTGGGCATGTCTTATTACATTGAATACAGCATTTTTTTGCCTCCTCAAACCCTGCCCCTTTACCAAAATGACCGTGCATAGCTTGTAGGAAGCTTTCAGAGAGCTCCTGGGGGTTGGGGAGGGCAGAAATGAGCAAAAATGGGCCATTTTGTGCTCAATTTTGCCCCCCAGCCCCCAGGAGCACTTAATAAGCTTCCTAATGCCCTTTTTTGACAAAAAAATGGGCTCGTTTTTTGCAAAAAATGGGTTTTTGCCCCCCCCCCCCAGGAACATTCCAGAAGCCTCCTAAGGGATAGTCATGCCTTTTTTTGAAAAAAAAAAATGGACCTGTTTTTGTGAAAGTCGGCCATTTTGGGGAGGTTTATAGAGTGCAAAAACTATTTATTTTCTAATTTGCCTCTTCAAAACCGTGGTGCGTCTTATACTCCAGTATGTCTTATACTCCGAAAAATATGATACTTTGGAGAATTGGTAGCAGAAATTTTGAGTAGTTCAGAGAACTGGCAAATACTACCTCTGTCTGGCCCAGAGTGGGGTGGGAATGGAGATTTTGTGTTATCCTTCCTCTGCCACGCCCACCAAGCCACACCACACCCACCCACCAAGCCACGCCCACAGAACCAGTAGTAAAAAATTGAATTTCAACCACTGCTTCAGAGGATTATACCGGTGCCCAGGACATTGAAACTGTCATTAAGTCCATGCCAGTTGCCCAGTCTGCAATGGTTGTAAGCATGAAAAATGTTCATAAATCACTTTTTTCAGTGCTCCTACAACTTTGGTCACCAAATGAATCATTCTAAGTCAAGGAATACCTGTACACAGGTCCACCTGACCATCAACCGTGTTGACCGTGGTTGTTTGCTCTTGTCACCCTCTTGCTAAAAAGTTTTCCTACACTTTAAAAGTGACCACATGCCAGAGGTGAGTTGCTCCCGGTTGAGCCCGGTTCAGCCGAACCGGTAGCGGAATTCAAGCCTGGGTTGCAGAACCAGCAGCAACCCAGGCCTACCACACCCCCGAACCAGTTCCCTCGCCGCCACCGGGCTGCCGCCATTTTGGTTTTTAGTGACTGCGCATGTGCAGTTCACTGTGAATTGTTCTGCACATGCACAAAGAAAAATTTATATTGAACAGTGTACATACATGCGTGAGCAATGCGCGCAGGTTACGAACCGGTAGTAAAACTAACAGCAACCCATCCCTGCCACATGCACTTTGTATGGAGAATGGTTGCCCTTCATTCAGTAAACTTCTTCCTCTCTCCTGGAATGCGCAGGAATTTTCCCCAGTTTTCTGATTAGCAGCCCTTAAATATTGGCTGTTCTTTGCTGATGAATTCCAAAAGGAAGCCACGCTTGCCTGGTTTCTGAAGTACAATGAAGGGTGGGCTCCAGAGCGCTCAAAAGAGCATCGTTGGAGATGGCCTGCAGTATGCAGACTAATTGACAGAAGCTATGGGATTTCAGGCAGAAGCTTAATCATGTTGAAATTTGACCTTCGGGTATCTTCTGTATGCAAAGCTGGTTCCAGCTCTCCGGTTATTATAGCAACTAACATTAGCAACTAACATTTCCAAGGATTCTTTCAAGAGAGTCCTAATAATATAGGAGCAAAATGTACCAATAAAAGATAAAACATGCACCAGTTTAAATAGTATATAAATAAAAAGATTGGTACTAAGTGTTTCCATTTAATTATTATAGTATTATAGTTCTGGAACAAGAAACAGTCCTTTTTTTAGTACTCTAAAGATCTGGCATATTTATTTGGTATACGTGCATTGGACTCTAGTTTCAAAAACAGCCAAACTTTGTCTTTTGTGACTAGGGCCCTTTCTTTGAAACTCCATTTGAAAAACTGAACCAAGCAAAATTTTTCCCATGTTTTTTCTATCTCTCGTCTGTCTGTCTGCATCTCCATCCATCCATCCATCCATCCATCCATCCATCCATCCATCCATCTATCTATATATCTCTTGTCTCTCTGTATCTCCACCATCTATCTATCTCTCGTCTGTCTGTATCTCCATCCATCCATCCATCATCTGTCTTTCTGTATATCCATCCATCCATCCATCCATCCATCCATCCATCCATCCATCCATCCATCCATCCATCCATCCATCCATCTATCTATCTATCNTGCTTTCCCAGTGACAGTGAAAAGAAGAATAGATGGCTGGTAAATTTTACAAAAATATTTGGGTAAATTTATATATGTGTGTGTGTGTGTGTGTGTGTGTGTG